GTTTCCCCCCGTTCCCCCCGTTCCCCCGTCCCCCAGACCGCAGACCAGCAGTACCTGGAGGGTTTCACGGAGGAGCTGGAGGCGTTCAAGGAGCGCGTGCGGGGCCGGGCGCGGGCGCGCCTGGAGAAGGCGCTGCGCGAGTACGAGGAGGAGGAGCGCCAGAAGCGCCTGGGGCCCGGCGGCCTCGACCCCGTCGACGTCTACGAGTCCCTGCCCGCCGTGAGTTCGGGCTCAAAACACCTGGGTTGGGGTCTTTTGGGGGGTCCCGCAGGTGTTTCCCTGCCCTGAGAGGGTTTGGGGTAAATCCTGAGGGTTTGGGTGTTGTGGGTTTCTGGGTGTTGTGGGTTTGGGGTCTTTTGGGGTTCCACGAGTATTTCCCTGCTCTGAGGGGGTTTTGGGGTGAATCCCGGGGTTTTGGGTGTTGTGGGTTCGGGGTTCCTGGCGGGACTGGGCTGGTCCCAGTCAGTCCCAGTACGGGTCTGGTTCTGAGGCTCAATCCCCCAGTTCTGGTTGGTTTGAGCTTTTGGGGCTTTCCTTGGGATCGATGGCTCCCAGTCCATCCCAGTATATCCCAGTCCCCCCCAGTCCCCCCCAGCCCCATTCCCAGTGCCCCCAGTGCCCCCAGTGCCGCTGACCCCGTTCCCAGGAGCTGCAGAAATGTTTCGATGTCAAGGACGTGCAGCTGCTGCAGGAAACCATCAGCAAGATGGACCCGACCGTGAGTGCAGCCCCAAAACTGCTGGGGGGCCCAAATACTGGGGGGGGCCCAAATACTGGGGGGGCCCCAAACCCTCGGGGGGGGGTCCCAAATCTCTCAGGGGGTTCCAAAACCCTGGGTGGGGGGGGTCCCAAATCCCCTTGGGGGGAGCCTCCAAACTCCTCAGAACACCCCCAATCCCCTCAGAACCCCCCCAAACCCCTCGGGACACCCCCAATCCCCTCGGGGGGAGCCCCCAAACCCCCTCAGAGCCCCCCCAAACCCCTCAGGACACCCCCAAACCCCCTCAGAACCCCCCCAAACCCCTCGGGACACCCCCAAATCCCTCAGGGGGAGCCA